GATTTGCTTGAATGTGTCATTTGTCTAAACAGATGTCACAAACAGCTATTGAAAGGGTTTTCTCAATTCAAATAAGTAAAGCCTTACATTCAGAAACAGTATTTCAAATAGAAACAACCTTTTTTAGAAAGAATGCTTATTTTAATGGCTTATTTTTGTATTGTGAGAAAGCGTACGTTGTGACAGTTGTGTTTTGACAGACTGTCATGACCTGCTCTGAGTGAAGGACGTCATGTGGGATGAGTCAACATGACTTTCCACATGTTAACAAAATAAAAGACAAGAAACAGAAGCCACAATAAAGGAACACAGTGACAGGAGCGTAAAATGGAGCAAAGGAAAGAAATGAAAAAGGACAGATGATGTAATGCTGGATCTGGCGGGCAAATGATCCAGCACATGAAAATGAACGTGCGTGCAAGTATTACAGCAGCCAGTGTTGAATGAATTCACAGATAAAAGAAAGTCAAATGTGACGGAATGTTCTTGTATATAGAAAGTTTTGCTCATTAGAATGTTAAAATCATTTGCATGTTCTCTCTACCACCCACCAGGGACACAAATAATCTACCAAATATACATTATAATATACAGTATTGCCTACAAATGGTTTAGTGAATCGCTGATCAGTTATGCTCACATATTACTGTTAAATCACTAATTAATGTTCTTGTTATGAATGATGAAACTGTTTTCTGTTTTTTATTTTTGTGAAAAAAATACCATGGTACACTGTATATTAATAACATAATAATATATATTGTTAATAAATAAATAAGAAAAAAAAACTAATTTGGTAAAACTCTAAATGTATTTAATTTTGATCAGTTTAATGTGTGATAAAATGTAAATTATTAATGAAAGTAATTACAATGAGTAAAAAAAGCAAATACAACACATAATAACAAAAGAAACACAAAAGAAACACAAACAAATAATAACAACAAAAATAACAGTTAAAAATAAAACTGTTATATAAAAAATAAATAAGAAGACAAAAAATAAGAAATATAAAAATAAGAAAAGGAATAAGAAAAAGACGAAAAGGAAAAGAAAAAGAATAGTTAAAAATAATGATAAAAATAATTATAATCAGTTAAAATTAATATTAGTAGTAGTGGTATTAGTGTTCACAATAATAATAATAATAATAATAATAATAATAATAAAGTAATTTTAAATAAAGTAACTGTTTCAATTGAACATGTAACAATGGAAACTGATTTTTGGTAAAAACTAAAGTTGCAAAAGAAAACATTGAGTTTAACAGTTTTAAAGCGTTTCATTATAGTAATCTTCTGTATAAAGTAATACAAAAAAATGTGACATGTCTTGACTGGAAAGCTTGTGCAAACACAGGCACATCAGCATGATCGAATGGGTTAACAGTTTTCTCATCACTGTCGTTTTCTTTTTGTTTAGTTTGCAAATGCACAAAGCACATTTTTACATTTTCCATCTAAATGCCACTTTTAGCAGTGTAGACTGATTTGGAATGTTTTCTAACAGTACATCACTCCTCGGCTACTTTACTTCAAGCTTATTTTTTTTTTACCCCTAATCAATGAAGGAAAACAAGCCTTTAAATGGTGATGTGCCTATTTACAGTAAATCTGTATTTTGTACAGTTATGATTACATACGCCTTCACTCTGCCTCATTACAATTGTATTTTGATATAATTTTTTGTTTATTTTGTATTCTATTTTATTTGATGTTTTTCTTTTCTTTTTTTTAAAGGATAGTTCCACAGCGTTGATCCTACCATGAATGAATGCAAGCGGTTCCTAGTTTACAGCTTTCTAAACAGTATAAATAAAAAAGTATTTATTTATATATATATATATATATATATATATATATATATATATATATAGTGTTAATCAGAAGAAAGTTTTCTAAGCACTTGAGGAAATTAATTAAGGGATTTTTATTTTCATCCCTTTAATTCCACTGATAGCATTTTTAAATCTCTATATATCATTGCTATGACAGCAACACAATAACTTGGCAGTTTATATGTTTTTGATTTATTTTAATTCAAAATGAACGTTTGGTTTAGGGTTGGAGTTTTAAAAATCATATGTTTACCCACTTTTCTAAATTAGCCACTTTTCTGCTTCCTCGTGAGATCAGATTGAATCCCGTTTCACAAATTCTTTAGTCCTGACAATTGTGTACTGCTTCTGCAATCCTTTTTTTATGCTCGTCTAGCTCCGCGCGGTGCATTTGCAGTAGCTGTGCAATCGGGTCTATTTTATCATCTATGAATTTAGAGATATTAGCTGTAATCTCCGCTACCGGGTTTGTGGATGAGCTCATGTTAGCACCGTCAGGATGTTCATCAGCCTCTTTACGGCTGGTAAACTACTTTTTTTTTTTTTACATGCCATGTTTTCTGATTGCCTCAGAAAGTAGTCATCTATGCTCATACTGTAGAATACGGAGTCTGAGCATGTGCAAAAGTAACCTACTGAAAGTTTTAAAATAAAATATGACAACGTGATACTACCGCTTAACTACACACAGCCTTCCTTCAAGCCGCCATCTTTGATCCAGCCCCGATAACTGCATTCTGAATATCTGATCTTGTGAGAGCTCTAAGGCATTCAGATTAGTTCATGCATACTTGGAAATCAAATTCATGGCCTTGAGAAAAAGGAATTAAAAACTTTATGGCCTTCACGTGGCCTTCAGCACTTGCATCACATACAGCTCTGACCTCCAAATGGAAGTGTTACAAAGATTATCACAAACTCTGATTTTACAAGGTTGCTAAGTGAATCGTACATAAAAAAATAAAGCCAAAATCTTAAAAGCAAACTAATTCTATCAAGTCAAGAGATTTTAGAGCAAAATTTGATGTAACACAATAAAAAAACTTAACTAACTGTAATGTGGTGATTTACATGATGTGGATGCTTTGACTTTGTGGAGTGTTACCGCTGAACTATGTGAGTGTCAATCATGTCAGCGAGTACCATCACTTTGAAAAAAAAAAAAAAAAAAAACTATTAATGCAAATCAAAATTACTACTACTGCCCTTGATGATGTACTAAAGTCTTATAAAGTAAATTGATCACTCTTGTGCAACAAGCTTAACATTATTTACAACTTTATTATCTGTTCTTCACAGTCTAGGCCAGGGGTGGGCAAACTCGGTTCTGGAGGGCCAGTGTCCCGCATAGTTTAGCTCCAACTCTAATCAAACACACCTGCTTATAGATTTCTAGTGATCTCGAATACACTTATTAGCATGTTCAGGTGTGTCTGATTAGTGTTGAATCTAAACTATGCAGGATACCAGCCCTCCAGGACCACCTCTGGCAAACCCAAGGCAAACGCTTTGGACCACACAGGCTTCATTCTTTTTATCTTTCTGTGCACTTTATAGCCACAAAATGTCATTATGGAACAGTATGCGAAGACGGAATTGACATTTTTGGGTGAAAAATACCTTGTAAATACTGTAAGCTGACTCTTGTAAACAGAAAAAAGCCATGGCAACAGTGTTGAGTCCTACAGAGGAGCTCCAGAAGGATACTTTTGTTTTGTGTTTATTTTATGATTAAAGTTGTTGCACTTTCTCCGGTTCCTACATTTTTCCTCTTTGAATTAGTGTCAGTTTGAGCTACTTGTACAGTAAGTTAGCATGTCACACATTTCCGGTGTAATCTCAAAACACTTGTGAAGAAACTCAAAGAGAAATGGAAAATCCCCACAGTCTGCAGAATTCTGGAAATGTTATTGTAAAAGCAACACAAACAGAATGCAAAAGTATAAACTCACAGCTACAAGGAAGGCATTTGGCATGGGTAGGCACACAAGCAATCTATGCATGCAGAAATTTGCAGATTGCCACAGACGTTTTTTTAGAATCAGAATCGGTTATATTGCCAAGTGTGCTTTACACAAACACACAAGGAATTTTTTTTATAAATGGCCTGAGAAAAGAAACTTTTCCTGGCCTAAAAGGGCTTAAAGAAACTTTTGAAGCCCTTTTCTTTTAAAGGGGCTAAAAGAAACTTTATTTATAAATGACTATTTATTTACTCGTGTAAATGTGTGTAAACTTTATATTTATTCAGTTTGTAAAAACTATTTCAGTATTATTAATGACTAATATGACAATTTATTTGATTTATTTACAATACAGTTTGTAAAGTAAAGTTTTGTCTTTTAGTAGATATATTACATACTTAATAGCTCTGTAGTGCAGTATAGGCCTAGTTTTATTAACATACTTTTATGCCATCGATTCAGTTTAAATCGATATCTTGGTGCATCACGGTGCATTGATGATGCTTTTCTATACACAGTTTTATATTTTTTTCACAGCACAGCAATTCTTGTATTAAAATGAATAAATATATTTATATAGTATTTGTAATTAAATTATATCCTTTATTACAAACAGTCAGATATATAAACTGTACCTTTAAACAACATGAGCATTTATGGCAAATAAACAAATATAAATATCCTACTTTCTGAGTCCTCTAGCAAGTTCTTTCTTGCACCCCTTTGATTGGTCACATGCTCAACAGAAAGGGCTGCGATTGGCTCTTATGCGCTGGCGCTCTTTACAGATGAGTGACACTGATAAATGCCAGCGGGATCAAATGGGTCACAGTAAGTTAGAGAGAAATGAAGTTTACTTTCATTCTCTCAATCGCAGTGAAATAGGGGCTTCTGCTGTAAGTGTCAGTAAAAGATATGTATATATCTATACATATATCTATTTATATATATATATATATATATATATATATATATATATATATATATATATATATATATATTTTTTTTTTTTTTTTTTTAATATATTAAGTATGTATTCTGCATAAATTTTTACAAATAGAAATAGCAAAAAATTTCAGCAGATTCTGTCTGGTCCAAGGCATTTAGTTACGGTGATCACTCAACGCATGGAGCCTTTATTTTGAGACTTCTGATATTATGTTGTATTGCTACACACCTAATGCAGAAGCTTTCAGTACCTGAGTGTGAATGCCAGTCACCTTGCAGAAGGGCAGGGTGAGGTTGGATGCAGCACCAGTGCTCGGGACTGTCCTGACAAACTGAGCCTTGGTCCGACTGTGAGACTCATAACTGCCTGGTCGTGAGCAGCAAACATCCATGATGTGAAAACATGATTTGACACTGTGAAGAGAGAGAGTTTAGAACATAAAACCTCTGTTTGTCAAAGTGCTAAGAATCAGCATGAATGAATTGAAGTTGAAGAAACATGAGTCGCTCACTGGTTGCTGTGTGGAAAGTCTAGCAGGTGCTGCATGGTAACGAAAGGATGGCTAAGAGCATCACTCGGGGCGATTCTTTCCTCTGCATCTATTAACAACATCTTCTTCAGCAAAGCCACAAACTCTGCACGATCAACCTTCTCTGCCAACAAATCACAGCCTTCCAGATTCATCACTAGATTCACCTGAAAACAGAAATAAGCTACTTTAATTATTCATATGGAGTCCTCCAATGTGTCTGCACACACAGAAAGAAAAGGAGACAACAAATAAAGTTAAACAACACTTCAGTATAGAGAACACATTCATTATTGACTACATCTTTTATTATCTATGACTTCTGGTCTGCATACTAAAGTGTTACCATTTCTGAACATTCCTTACAATTATGTTTCACTGGATTAATCATTTAAGGTGTAGTGCAATTATTATGTTTTACTTATCTGCTTTTTTATTTATAATGCATTGTTTAATACCACATTTTTTGTATAGTGAAGGTTTTTAAATTGTAAAGAACTGTCAATATAATATGCACGATTCAAAAGTTTAGGTGTCAGTAAGAATTAGTTGTTCGTCTCTTTTTAAAGATAAGAGAATTGATCAAAGTTATATAGACATTTACTTTAGAGCTTTGCGATATTTGAAACCGTTAGGTCCATAAGTATTTGGACATCGCCACAATTCTCACTTTTTTTTTTTTTGGAACCTTAACAAGAGGGAGGCACATATGCAAATTGTTGTAATTCCTACAGTGTTTATAGTGTTGGGCAAGCTACTTGAAAAATGTATTGAGCTAAGCTATTAGCTACTCTACTTCAAGCGAAGCTTAACTACGGAGTGTCTCTCCTGCTTCAGCAGCGTGTCCTGCTGGTTATAAACGATAAGGCGGAGAGAATGCGCTGCTTAGTGAACCTGACTCGCCATTATTTTAATTCTATATTCGTGAAGAATGAGCCAACCGCATATGCTTAGTCCTGTTGGTCGGGACACTCTGCTTTATAACTTAGTTTATTACAATAATCACACTTAGCTTTGCCATCGTTCTTCACATGTTGCCACTCGGCACATCTTGCGCTCCATCTTTAAACAAATGTTTACATTATTGAGGTGCTCTCCGGCAGCGAAGTTTCTGGCAGAGTAGCGAGTGAAAAAATGTGCTTGCAGAAATTGGAATTAAAATTTTAATTATATAACAGGCATCGTATTCTTTCTAATCCTCGCCCAGTTTTAATACAAATTGTGTTTTTTTATATTTGTGGCTGTGAAGTTTATTAGAATATATATATATATATATATATATATATATATATATATATATATATATATATATATATACATTATTTTTATTATACTTTAAGTGATCTGCTTGAGGTAGGTCACGTCTATCAATGGTAAGTTTTAGCCTAAGTTTACATGAATAACATAATGTGCAGTGTCCTTTACCATACAAAAAAAGAAAGAAAAAAAAACATTATTATACACCATAGTAGCCTGTAGCCTATAAAAAGGCCGCAAATATTTTTAAATGCATTAAAAGGCAAGCGCATATCTTAGCCTTGAGTTTGTTCACACTCTGCCTGTATTAACATAAATGCTGTATTTTAATATAGCTTATTTTGATGAATTAGCTCTAACCTTTGACAGCTTTTTCTTCTTTTTCCGTGGTTATGCGGCATTATATTTCACACACATATGCAAGGTGACTGAATATGAAGTTAAAATACAAAACATACTGAGCCATTAAGTAAAAAACAAAACAAAACAAAACAACAGTTATAGCTACTTTAAAGGAGAACATTGACGTTTTGAAAAAAAAAAAAAAAACTGAACTGAAACTAAATTATTAAAAATAAACCTGCAGACTTAATTTATGTCCTGCGGCAAAAATATTTTTATTATACTTTTAGTGATCTGCTTAAGGTAGGTCAATTTATTTTTTCTTTTGATGAAGCAGCATTCAACTTAAGCTCTTTAGACCAGTGGTTCTCAAACTTTTTTCACCAAGTACCACCTTAGAAAAAAATCGTCTCTCCAAGTACCACCTTACGACGCTATTTTTTAACCAGTATTAAAAAATAGCATCGTAAGCCTAATTAAGCAGCTACAGGTGTGCACAGTTTTAAAACGATGCAGATTACTTCCTATTAGTAAGAATATGTATTATTGTCAGTCACTTTAAACATTTGAAATAGTCTGAACATTAACTGTGCTTGCAGATAAAAAAAAAAAAAGTTTTAGTTAAAATGTGCTTTTAAAAGTTCATTAAAAAATGGCGCTGTTCTTAAAAAGTAAAAAGAAAACTGCTGTACTTAAATCTAAAGTATTCATAGTAGCCTATTCATCAAAAGCTGGAAATGCTGCTTGGACCTTATAAATATAGGCTATATGTCATATTCCTACACTTTCAGACAAATCTTGAAATAAATGTTAAATGTACAGGACAGGGTTCATACAGGCACAGCCTAATGAAAATCAATTCCAGCACCTATTTTTTTTTTCAAGACTGACATGCTATGTATTGAAGACCTGAAATGTATTCTCAGCAACCCATAAAACATTGCATAAGAATAGATACAAATAAAAACCATTAATAATAATATTTATTAATCATATATTAATAATATTTATTAATAATTAATAAAGCACTAAGTGCTTGTGAAATCTTTTTTGTACTCAAGTAAAAATACTATTACACTGCTAAAATAACAAAAATTTTAGTAAATAATACTAATATTAGGTATACGAATTACTCTTTTAAAAAGTACTGGTTGGTTACTTTTGAAAAAAAAATCTGATTTTCATTATGAAATCACTTTTTTAAGTGTAAACCTGATTTAATGGTTTGATTGCTTACATCCCAAAGCTAGATGTATAATTTGCACTAACAAAGGAAGTATAGTCAATTTTTACTTTCATGACAATTAATCTTTTTCAATAGCACTGGTAAAACTACCAAGTAATCTTTAAGGCCATAGAGACACTTTTTGCCCATTTTTAAAAATATATATTTTTAAGCTTTGAAAGGTTAAATTAAAGTATATGGTAAAAAGATTTAAATTTAGCCTTTTATTTACATATTTTACACTATTTTCTTTACAATATGGCAAATTTGTTTCTTAAATAGCTGTACATCACATGTAGATTTTATTTTACACTTGATCTTAATCTAAAATAGAAACGTAAAAAAATACAAGTACACTGTCAGTACAAAAAATAAAACAAATGAATTCATTTTACTTGAGGTATTTGAAATATGACGACACTACATTTATCAAAGCAGTGCTTTAAGAGCCTTATTGTAAATTGTGATAAATAAACAATACGTAGGCTAACAATGGATTGCTTTGACCTGTAATGCTTTAGGACAGATCAGAATACAGCTAAATGTATAAATCACACAAATACCTCACCCAGAAACATTTCCAGCATAATTATTTTGTCGTAAAGAAATAAAAAATGTTCCACCTTTGCTAAAAGTAAGTTTCACTTCACAACACAGCCAAATAAGAAGACCATTAGCATTGTCATCGATCATGTATCAATCTATTTCTAAATATTTGATAACTTTGAATACTTTTGACTAAATTTAGTTAAGGAGCAAAGATAAATAATGTCTACTTTAATAGTGGAAAGATCGCGATTGTATTCTATCTGAGCACACACGCGATCATGAGAGCACTGCAGTTCATTTGAAAAAAGCCTATTTAAGAGCTCGCATGTCTGTTTTAGCGATTTGCACACATGAATGCGCTCTCGTGTTAAAATAAAGCACTCGCCGCATTTGCAGAAATGAGTAATTGCGCAATACCTTCATTCCCGCGCCGCCATTCAGAATGTATTTGGAGGAGTGACAGGTCAGAGGCTAGTCGACTGGCTGTCGGAGAGCGAAACGTGTATGAAGATCATCAAATAGGCAGGAAATATGTCCGCGGTTTAATTACTCTGCTAGACATCTCTGTAGTGAAAACATCCGAGAAGCATTATTCCAACAAAACATTTGTTTTTAAGTTGTTTTTTCTGTCTCTGCAACACAGAAAGCCTTTGTCCCGCCCTTACGTTTCACGCAACTAGACAAGGTTGACTGTGATTGGCCACTTTTCATGTCAGTCAAATCACGCTTCAGAATCAATTCGGAAACTGATTTTCAGCAGCTTATGACACAATGCACTAAAATAAACACTCCAAGCACATCGCTGTGATCGTACGCTTCACAAAACAGCCAATGCTGATCACATCAATGTTATATTACGCATTAAAGGATTAAAAGTGTTAATTGCTTCTTTCATTATTCAGCGATTCCTCCGCGTACCACTAGGAGGAAGCCCGCGTACCACAGTTTGAGAACCACTGCTTTAGACCATGCTGCTGACCGTTTCTCAGTGTTTCACTTACTGTACGGCAATGTCTTTAAATAAATAATTTATTTAGGCCTATTTTCATTATTCATTTATTTTCATTATTCAATTATTATTATGTACAATTGTTGAGACATAAATGAGATAGTAAAATATAATCAAAAACAAAAATGGAAATAAAAACAGAAATAAAACATAAATGAAAATGTCTTGTCTTAGTCCTATCAAAATAGCAAACACTGAACATCTTTCTATATTTAGGCTGCTTTATTTATTTATTTATTTAAGACTTATTATTTACTAAATAATTTGTACTAAATGTTTGTGCTTTCATTTTAGTTGTCTTTTACTTCTTCAATTCTATTTTCCAAAACGAATCCTCTTTGCACTTAAAAAGTTTACAATAAAGCATGTTAACAAATTTTAAATGATTAATGAAGGAATTATAATGCTTTGACTTATTGTTTAATATCATTTACAAGCACAGTAGCTGCTGCATGGGCTATTTCTGTCCGTTCGCATCCCGTCCCTTTGCGCCCCCTGGCGGCTCATTCACAAACTGCGGTCATACACTAAAAACAGAGCGGCACCTATTTCAAACGGCGGCGGAACAAGCTGCGGCGTTAATAGCCACTTTGAACTCTCACCTACTGTACAGTAAAAGCTACACCCGAGGAAATGATTTATTAATTATAGTAAAGGTAAATATCTAAAACTTTATAGTAGTTACTATAAATAACTAAAGTATTTTTTGAGCACAGCATCAGAACCAATGCTATTACATCTTAGCATGTACTTCTCAAGGTATGGTTGCGAGGAATCCTGGTTCATAAATAACTCCTCTCCCTCAGTTATATTTCCATCAAGCAAATTTCTCATGTTAAGCCTAATTGGTTGGCAACGTCACAGACCAGAGCGAGATGCGTTAGTAACGCACCCAAAAGTTTGTTGTCGACCACCGTAAAACAGGAAGAAATCGTGATTCTCGCCATCATATGGATTTATTTTCATCGGCTAAACACCAGCCTCACAGCTCTATGTTGGTGCAATATGAATACAATTGCACCAGATGACTTGAGATATCTATTTGGAAAGAATGTATAGCGTTAGATCGATTGGGATAATTCCGCAGTGGGAGTGCATCTTCATAAAATCTAATAAATGATCTATAAACTTTTTGTGATCTTTGCTCTTTGCAGTGCATTTCTGTATGTGCATGTGTTGAGTATATCCATGCATAACAATCTATAAACACAATCAAGAAAAGGATGCAACTAAAATGGTGTTTTATCGTTTTGAGAGTCGTTTTGTGAGTCTAAGATATTAAATTCAATTAATTGTTGTTAAAGTTGCAAATGGTAAAACTTCCTATGCCTGAATGCTTTTAAGATCATTATACCATCACAGGCATCAAAAACACATGCAAATGCTAAATTATAATGCAAACTCAACATTGCATACCTAGCGATGTGACTACTGCGAATGATCACATTGCGATATGGATGGTAAAACGATATGTTGTGCAGCCCTAATTTACATGTCACAGAAGCCGTTAAAAACATTCTTTCTACAAAGCTTCCCTGTCATTCAATAAAAAATTAATTCTGTTTTCAGAATTAACAGTTTTTAAATTACTATAGTATCAATAGAAAGCTCTTAAACAGCTAATCATCATATTCAAACATGTCTAAAGGACATTCTGAAGCAGTAAACGAAATTTAAGACATTTTAAAATGTATATATTTTTATAATTGTGAAAAAAATTATTTGTGATGAAATGATTCAGCTTTGGTGAAACTAACATACTTCACCCAACATCTTACAGACCACATTCTATGCTGTGCAAGTAGAAGTGTACTATGAGTTTTCTATTTGCATTTGAAAGGTAACCACAGCCCTCCATGTGTGGGTTTTCCACTGAGGAAGGAATGAGATGCGATTCTTTTGTGGTAAAAGTGATATTTCAGAAGTTACATTCTTGAACCAAAGATACGCACATGCGCTATGTCATCCAAACAGCTGAAGATGTACTTCCTGGCTTCTTTTGATTTCAGCCCCGTCTCTGTCTCATGCTCCTCTGTGGACTAAAAAGAACATACACATCATTAAAAGCAACTCAAATCAAACAGACTCCATTTAACATGCAGTGCTGTGAAAAAGTGTTTGCCTCTTAGTGATTTCGTACTTTTTACCAGTTTGACACACTAATGTTTCAGACCATCAAATAAATGTAAATACTAGTAAAAGATAGCACAAGTAAACACATCATGCAGTTTTGCAGGTTTTTATTATTAAGGAAAAACAAAATACAAAACTACTTGAGAGAAAAAGTATTAGCCACTAAACCTAAAAACTGGGGCCACTCTTAGGAGCTAGCTAGGGATCTTTTGGTCTACTTCTCTTTGTCTGGCGGCTCCTATTTAAGTAATTTCTTGATTGCAAACAGGTGTGGTAGTAATCAGGCCCGGGTGCGGCTGGATAAATTTTAAACAGGTGTGACAAACCAGCATCGTACGATGTCTAATGTGAAACAATGAATGATAGCATCATCGTCATAGGCGGCGGTGAATTAATTATTCATGAATAATTTATTAATTCATAAAAATAAATTATTTGTATCCTACTGTTTCAACTACCTGACCCGCATGGTCTATGTTTTACCTATAACTAAATGATAAATAAATAAAGATAAGTTACACACAAATTAACACCTGTCAATCACTTTTTCCGCGGGACTCTGACATAAATAGGCAGAGTGATCTGTGTCATAATGGCGTCAACAAAATTGGTTAATAAAGTTGCATAACAAACAGGAACCAACCAACAGTATCTAAGGTTTTTGCTAAAATTACTAAGTACAAGCATGAAAACGAAAGATTGAAGCAGTGTACTGACGCTATAACACGTTACCTGATAGATTCAAAAGACCGAAGAGTCATTAGATAGAGACAAGATTAATTAAATATGATAGGTAACATCTATAGTGAGACGCGATCCAGTGCTACATCCTTGATAAACTGTCCAACTTGCACGGCTTCCTGGGATTTTGTGCTTAAAGCATCCGCTGACTGCCTGAAGCTCAGATGCGCACATATGCTGCAGCGTATGCCTGAGTATGTTTGGTCACGTGATGTGTGTTTTCAGCAGTATAGTGTGGAAAGAGGGCTTTTTAAAAATGCTAGATGAAACACCAGTGTGGACGTGGCTTGTTTACATTCTAAAATGCCATTTTAAACCTAAATTGCATTAGTGTAACCAGGGCCTAAGAATGAATGGCTGAATTAATAAGAGGTTACATGTGCTGGTGAAGATTAAAGATGCAGGTGAGAGGTTTGCTCTGATTTTGGCCTATGTTGCGTGTTGTTTTTGAAGCCAAATTAGGACTAAATCTATGCTATGTGTAGTTTTTGTAATTGGTAACAAATCGGAGAGTGTAAAGCAGGTTGCACACCGAATGCGCCACAACACGGCACGCACATGACAGTCAAAGTATCGCACATCATATGCGCACATTCACATTTTATTTAAAATGAAACTATTCAGATGGCGCTCTGTGGCACAGAAATATGAACAGTGTCCTGAGTCATGGCTGGGCACCGCAGACAGCTACCGACTTGCAGCGGCGGTGTGCATACCCTGAGAGAAACCTATGTTTAGAATTCTAAAATGCATGGTGCTGCATGGCACGACGCGTCGCCAAGTGGCACATCTGGTGTGCGACTCCCTTAAGGGTCTGTGTGTGTTCATATACGTTGTATTTATTTAATATTTTATATAATTGCAGACTAAACAGCAAGCTACTTCACACTATCATTGATCTGCTGTTATAATCAAATCATGCTCATAGAAAAGTTAGTAATAAACATTTATACACATATATTTATGTGTTTAAAGCATCTGTTTTATGAGAAGTGCTTCTCATATGATATGTGAACAACCCATACAGCTTTGACGTGAGTGTTGGGCCAACAGACGATGCCATCGTCCATCGCAGATGGCCAAGAGACAACACAATGCTGAGCCGGCACCGCCGATCCTCCGACCCGCCACCGTCGCAAACAAGCTCAAAAAAAATGTACACTTAGACCCTGTTTGCACTAATACGTCTTGGTGTTAAAATGGCATTTTAGAACAAAAATTATCCACATCCACACCGTGTTTTACATAGCATTTCTTAACAGCTTTCCGTCCGCTGAAAACGCACATCACATGACCACACACACACACACACGCACAGTCATGCGCTCGTCTGAGTTCCAGTGAGCAATGCACGTCGGACAGTTTATCAAAGATGTACCAGTGGATCGCGTCTCACTATAGTTGTTAAACGCAATATTCAGACATCCGAAGTCTCCCCGTAAATTAGTGATAATCTCCCGGAAATCATGTGTCTCTCTCCCAGTCCTCAAAAAAGTTGCGCACCCTTCTCACCCCTTACCACCGGATCCCTCCTCGCTCTTCAGACACGTTGCACGCTCTCTGTCAAACACCGCCTCCAAGCACCCCAATAAGGGAGGCAAACACTTTCACACTACAGTATGTCACTGTATATATTTATGCATTATTTGTAATTATACACAATTTATAGTCTAGTAAGATTGCAAAAACTGATTATGTGAACAAATAAAGACTTAAGGACATTCACTTTGATTTACTTGACTTTTTTGCCATTTTTTCAGATTGGATATTATATTATTTTTCCTTATAAAAATGACACCTTCATGGCCATATGGGTGGGTAAAAATAATATTATTTAATTACACAACATGCTTTGATAATGTAATGTAGGCAATCAATCAAACTCACGATGAAAATCAAATGCAAAAACAACACATATTGAAAATATGAACTCTTTAAACAGATCATTTGGAAACATGACGCAGGACTGTGAAATGAATGATGTGAATATGATCGTCAGATCATTCTCTCACTTTAAGTCTCCAGGTCGCATACGGCGAGTCCGACTCCCGGCAAAAGAATCGAGACGTCTTCGTCCCCACATTTAACAGATGCTCTCCTGGCAGACCCTGCGTCTGAGAAATGTAGCGAATCTGAAGAGAGACAGATGGGAAAAGAGTGAAACTGAGCTCGATGAACTCGATCATTGTTAATGTTTTAACACCAACCAACGTAAATGGATATGTCAACAAAAGACACATCAGGTGCCTGGAAACAGCATGTGTTCTCAATGACACGTTCAGAGGGCAGCACGTGTTTTGAACGACACACAGAAACAGGCGATTTATAGGAGTCATGCTTGTGTGAAACCCGGCGTGTGGCCGTTCTGTGTGCGTTCTTACGTCAACAGCACTGTGGTGTGAGAGAAAGATCTATTAGATGCTCGGTGTCACATGGGCCGAGCAGAGGTGCAACAGCTTCTGCGGCACATCTTAAAATCAGATAACAAGACCCTTTGACCTCTCAAAGCAAACTGGGCCAGCATGTTTGTAATACCTTGGAAAGAAATAACATACTTCTTTGTTTTAACAGCTCGTTGTGTAAGAAAACGCTTCAGAAAAAGATCAACTGATCCGAAGAAATTGAACACAATAAAAATACAGAACATTTACACCACATCAACCTGACACTTTATGTTTTAAGGTCATGACACAAGTTAGCATTGGCCAACACAGAGTGCCTGTTAGTTTGGTTTTTCACAATTAATTATTGAAAGATTTCAATATAAATGTTTACACAAACAGTCCAATTTCTATATAACTGCAATTTGCATATATGTTGATTTAGCCCAGGACAAGTACGATTACAGCATTTGCACTTAAATCTGACTTTGAACAAGACTTTAAAACAACGTTATCAATATTTAGTGTTAGAAACATTTAAATTATCACAGTAGTTTTGGATAGCAGTGTATAGTTTGGTTTTAAACATTGATTTCTATGGGAGTGCATCAATTTGAAAATATACTAATAGGTGACAAACAATCAATTACATATTTCTAATTGAATAATAGACTCAAGTGAATTGTTCAAAATAATTACTTAATCCATTAAAGAAACCAGTGAAGTCCTTATTAGAGAGTCGATGAATTGTTTATTTAAAACTACATTAGGAAATTGTTTCTTAAAATTGGTTAGTAAATCAAAATAGTGTAAGAAAATAAATAGTAACACTCAGGGGACTTTCATACACTTGGTGCAATAAGATGCAAGATGTGTATGGTGCGATTTGTTGCTATTTTCAGACCAGCGTTTCAATTTTCATATTTTGCACTATGTTGTTTAAATAGCTCATCGGTGTGCCGGTCTAAAAAGTTTATCCATCACAACTTGCATATGTGTAATGTTAGTAGTAGTAGTAGTAGTAGTAGTAGTAGTCTTTATTATACACATATTTATATTTCTTTTAATAAAAACAAGTTCAGATTTGTCCAACTGGCGGGTTTTGGAGACATCTGTGTCACTATGTGGGGCATAAGAAAGGGAGTGTTTGGATACAACTCAGTTTTTTGACCAAGCTTCGTTATTATGTATTGGTTTGCTGGAAATTAGAACTGAATTAAGAAATAGCTTTGAAACAAATCTTTGTGCTTAACAAACAAAATTAAATATGTAGGCTAACGGATGTCTTAAGTGGAGTGCGTACAACACTGTTTCCTTAAAGTAAAGCAGGAAAGACTAAAAGGAAAGAAAGGAAAGAAACCGAATGGAGGAGGCTCGTTCTTTATCCCCGCGCTGCAGATGTTCTGTTTAACTGTTTTCTAGCTAGTGAACCGTTTGGAATAATCCACTAACAAAGTCCGCTATGTAAATATCAAATGTGCATAGCGCAACGCAACTGACTATTAAAGGAAATGGGAGAGGAGACTGCAAACCATATTTTTCCATCTTTATAATATCAAATGTGGATTCGGACACACCCTTAATGCTTTTTTTGTCATGCGCTTTAGACTTTGCACCTAGATTATTAAAATAGACCCTTTATCTTGATGTACATTGTTATGCTTGTTCCATGTTTTTACATTTGCAGTTATTTTTGTGTAATTATATGTAACTAAATCTAAAGCTAGCTTGAATTATAGGTCTAACCATATAGTAACTACATGTAATTAATAATGTCACTCAGTAATAGGGGTGGGCAGTATAGCCAAACTTAAATTTTATGGTGTGTGTGATGTCATTTCATGGTAGCGGTATATTTCATCATAAAGTTATTTAAACAGGTAGATTTTCAAGAAATACAATAAAAAGGGTTATAAAAGATAAACTTTAATACTTTAGAAATTGTCCTTTTATTTGGACATTTAAAAAAATTATGTTGCACAATATTTAATTTTTTCAGATATTTTTTAAATACTTTTGGTTGAGCTGATAGCGATATCTTTTCGGTGTTGAGAAAAGTTATTTTACAGGTTAACTAACAGTCCGGTGTGAGAGTTTTAAAGTACATTGTAAAAAATGCAGGGTTCCACATTATTCCTTCATGTTGTCCCAACACAAATCAATTAAGTTAACTTAACAAATTTGAGTGGACATAAAACAAGTTGTACCAAAAACATCTCAATAATGGTGTTGTTTAAACTCATTTTAAATAAGTAGTTTGAAAAATAAAACACAAAAAAATGATACACATGCTTCTCATGATTAAATAAAATCTGACTTGTGATTTCATGACCTCAATTGATGCTTTCTCTCATCGCTAGTACTACCTTTTTCTTTAAAACAAAAAATCCATTATGGCTGACAATTTTTCAGCATTAACGATCCTACTAAGGACCTAACTAAATGGTTAGTGCAAAAAGGACACCTTGAAATAGTGTGACCAAACTAATTTTTGTCAAAACATCCAGGGAATTATTTATTTTGTTAGGTCATCAATACTCAGAAACATGGGGAATCCTCAACTTAAAAATAAATAAAATGAACATATCCAAAATTGTTGAGCTCTAGTCTAAACTTAGAATTTGCCATTGGATTACTGCAGCACAGTAGTAAATTTAGTAAAATAAATTTTGTGAAATTGACTATCCGCAGATTAAAGAAGCAAAAGTGCTAACCGAGTTTGTGCTAATCATGTTTGTGCTAACTGAATTGTGAAGTTGAGGGAAGAACTCTGAAGTGACCTCTGACTGAAATATTCCTCTATTCCTCACACAAACAAGTTATTGTATTGCTACAGAAAACGCTGTATGTAGTCTCTAAGTCACATGTACAACTGCTATTACGTTAATGGAAAGAATAGCACACAGTATATGTTAAACTTCTTCAAGTTTCCATGAACCAATAAAGCCATATGGGTAAACAATTATTATTTTGGGGTGCAGTGTGGCTTTAAAACGTTAACAGTAGTGACCATTAGACCCACTTTGTGCACACACAGAAGCTCAAGCTCAAACACAGACACCCTAATCCCAAGCTTTAAGACTAAATAAACAGCGTATGTGCGGAAAACAGATGTAGAACATCGAAAATTCCCCAGATGCTGTTCAGACGTCAACCCGTGAGAAGGAGGAAGAGAGAGCACGTTTAACTTCTGGGTGAAAAACAAAAAAACTGAAGATAGGCTAGATAGAAATAAATGAAGATATTTGTAGAGGAAGTCAAATGTAAGTTCAATGTTGATCTGACCCAGGTCTTACATCAGCAAAAAGGACAGGAAGTAGGCAGGTTGTCATTGAACAATTTTAAGCAAGATCTGACAGAAAGTAAAATAATCATTATTCTAATATCTATCAGAGTGAAAGATGTAAACTTCTGATGACACATGACTTTGCATAGTATTTCATAATGATGGAACATAATGATGAAAGTTCTAGCTGCAGTAATATATTACCGTGGTTTGGGGTTTGCAGCATACAGTAGCTGAATTTCAGTGTACATAATTCATTAATCCATTCATTTTTCTGTCAGTTATCTGAGCCAGAGTCAAAGTGACAGCAAGACGTTGGGCATGCCCTGATGTCCCATTCACCCAGCAACTTCCTCTAGCTCCTCCAGGGGGTTTCCAAGGCATTCCAAGATCAGCTGAGAGATATAAGCCCTCCAGTATGTCCCGGGTCTGCCCTGAGGTCTCTTCTAAATGCCACTGGAAGACGTTTGAGAGAAATCCCAAACCACATGACTGAACGAAGCTGATGCAATAATAGGACTTAATAACATGACTTAAATAAATAAATAAATAAATAAATAAATAAATAAATAAATAAATTAATTAATTAATTAATTAAATATGCCATTTGAGTTTAAGCAAGTGTAACCCACCGGTCCTACCACACTCGTCCTGTGCTGAGCAGAGATCAAACAGCAATTCTTTGCATGGGAGTTGATAGCTGTAACAAGGAGGCTAAAGACAATAGTCTTTATTGTCTGTTGCTAAAGCACCATTAGAGGTCAGAGGAGTAAGTTTTACCTGCATAGCACTTCACTGGCTGGCCTCTGTTACACTCAATCCCCCTAAACCTCACTCCCATCCCGGACGAGATCCCAAGTGTAACTAACCGGTCCTACTGCACCAATTCCATTCTGAGCTCGGATTGAACCAGCAATTATTTGCATGAAAGTAGGATGCTCTAACAAGGAGGCTAATATGATTATGATTCATATGATTACAGTTGTACCAAAATAACATTAAATGTTTTGGTTGACTTTAAACATCTTACAACCTTTAATCTAAGAAAGCTAACCTGAATCACTCTGAATAGCTTTGGGATGTGCAGGAATGGAATTTACAGAGTGATAAAACAGTAAGCATCAATAGCCATTGCAGGAAAACAAAATATCGCAATGTCAGATTTTTCCAATATTGCACAGGCCTACTTAATACATACTTGTATACTTTACTGTTCACTTCAAGTTTTTCAATATAACACAGTGTTGGTAATTTTCTATTTATTTTGACATTTTCTGACATTGTGAAGCACTGTGGTCAATAATGGTTGTTTTTAAATGTGCTAAATAAACGCAACTGGACTAAACTGAACTGAATTGCAGTTTCACATGCTTTCTCTATATCAGGGGTCACCAACCTTTTGGAAACTGAGAGCTACTTCTTGGGTACCGATTAGTGTGAAGGGCTACCAGTTATTAAATAACAC